TACTATGCGCCCATCTCCATGAATCATCTTTATTCTCCTTTACCTTGATCCTATTAATAATCCCCCTAAACCTTTCTTCCTCCTCACCAACCCTCCTGGAACAGCTTTGTCGCCATCTACAATCCCATACCCATGTGCCCTCACTCCAAAAACCCATATCCTTCAACAGCCCCTCCTTGGTCAACGATAACGCATACAATCTCGGAAATATATCCTTTAAAGGTTTATCACCGACCCATTTATCATCCCAAAAAGCCACTCGACTTCCATCACCAATCTCCCATTTAAAGCCTTTTCCCAGCATTAAACCCAACCTCTCCGACTGGCTACCAACACCCACAATGTCCTTCCACACTCGAGACATATGCAAGGAGCTAAAAGAAGTAATATCAACTTCCTTTCGAGCCTCGTAATACTTCTCCCAAATCACCCTCTTCCATAATCCCCCAATACTATCACCTAACCTAAACCACCACTTACCCAATAAAGCCCAGTTTCTCCTCTTTAAACTATCCACTCCTAAACCCCCTCTCTCCTTCTCCACACAAATATGATCCCAACTTACCCATGCAATTTTCCTCTCCAAATTTGCTCCACCCCAAAAGAAATCTCTTTGAATCTTAACTATCTCAGCAAGAACACACTTTGGAATTTTAAATAACGACAAGTAAAAAATAGGAAGAGCAGAAAGTACCGAGTTGAGCAAAGTAATTCGACCTCCAAAGGACAGCAGTGAACGTTTCCAGGCGGCAAGCTTATTCCGAAAACGATCTAGCACAGAAACCCAAAACTTTTTCCTCCCCGAAATTCCTCCCACCAGCAAACCAAGGTAAGTAAAAGGCAACATTCCTATCTTACAATGCAAAATATCGGCTGCAGCCTTTAACCACCCTTCTGTAACATTAAACCCATACAAATGACTCTTGCAAAAATTGATCTTCAAACCCGAAATTAATTCGAACCAGTGTAGAATAGCTTTCACAGTCCTTAAATTTTCTGCCTCTGCCTTTCCCATAAACACAGTATCATCCGCAAACTGTAGTAAGGACACAACCATACCACCCTCTCCAATCTTGACTCCTCTGAAAAGCCCTTCTGCCTCTGCTTTTCTAACCATATCGCACAACCCCTCACCTACTAACAAAAACAAAAATGGAGACAAGGGATCACCTTGACGAAGACCCTTGCCAACCGAGAACTCCTTTGTCGGACTTCCATTAATTAAAATAGATATACGGGTTGTCGAAAGGCATTCATGTATCCAGTTTCTCCACCGAATTCCAAACCCCATTTGATCCATCATCCAATCAAGAAAGTTCCAATCCACACAATCATAAGCTTTCTCAAAATCAGCCTTAAAAATAAAACTCTCTTGTTTTCTCTGTTTCACCTCATCTACCACCTCATTCAAGACCAGCACACTATATACTAGTTGCCGACCACCAACGAAAGCTGACTGTGAATCACTAATAATATCTGCCATCACCATTTTTAATCGATTCGCCAAAATTTTTGCCGGTAATTTGTATAAACAACCAATCAAGCTAATGGGTCTATACTCCTTAAAATGCACTGGATTGACCTTTTTAGGAATTAGAGCCAAAAAAGAGGAATTTAAACCTTTTACTAACCTCCCATGTTGGTGAAATTCTAACAAAAACTTCACAAAATCCTCTTTTAAAGTACTCCAGGCAAATTTTAAAAAATTAAAATTGTACCCATCTGGACCTGGCGCCTTTGCCCCATCACAGCTATGTAGTCCTTCTTTAATCTCCTCTACTGAAAAAGGACGTTCCAACCACTCCCTTTGTTCAACTGGGATTCTGTTGAAATGCATTTCAAGGAGTGCATTTTTTGCACATTTAATACTGCACTAGTATAATTTTCTCAGTCATAGGTCCTAACAAATGCAAACACCAAACTACCTTCTATCCGCTGCACACAGCTTTCCTCCCCCTACTTTAACTATGTTGCAAAAAAGCCTCCTTGAAATGCATATATAGGAGGCTCCACTTGTCCGAGAAGACATTTAAACCACAAGTCATATACTACCGGGCAGTTTAAAAACAATTTGTGGCTCTAGCATTGAATCTATTGATCGTTTGGATTATAAATAATAATTATTAGTTGACACCAGAATCCTGACACGGACGTGGTGTTGACACAAAATGGAATGGCTATTCCACCATGTAAATTCATGCCTTCAAGTTGAGATATTTATGGGTTTGGGGTACCCTTTGTACTCTGTTTTTTAATAAATATTATTTTTGCTGGTCCAAAAAAAAATAATTATTAGTTTCAAATTTGATTATTAACTATCAATTACATTTAATTAAATATCTAATTCAAACAAATAAAACATAGTCATATATAAAACTTTTAGAATGTTAACTAGCAATTAACTTTCTATGCATATACACATTAGGCATCACCATTCACAAATCCTAGTAATTTACACGACCACAGATAATAAAGCTGTGGACACAATAGGCCTAATGCATTAACACATAAAGCTTTGGACACAATAGCTAGTCTTGGAAACCATTGCTGGACCTCTTCTCACAAAAGTTATCCATTTGGAAGGGGTGGTACTTGTCTCTCAGAGGTAGAATCACTCTTATTAATTCAGTGTTGTCTAGTATCCCTGTTTTTTGGATGTAAGTGTATCTGATCCCAAAAGGTATGATTCTATCCATTGATAAATTACGTAGAAGCTTTTTGTGGGGGGGAGGGGGGAATGAAAGAGGGAGAAGGATTAGCTGGGTGAAATGGGAACAAGTTTGCAAGGATAAAGCTAGAGGAGGGCTAGGTGTGAAAGATTTAAGGACATTAAATATGGCATTATTAGGCAAGTGGTGGGGTAGGTTAGTGTCAGAGGATGAAGGGTTGTGGAAGAAGTTCATTTTTGAAAAATATGGGAAGGAGGGAGAGTCTAGGTTTAACTGGGTAAGAGACAGCAATAACAGGGGGTCAATATGGTGGAAGGATATATGCAGGCTTAATGTTATTGATGAGGAGAATAGGGGGTGGCTAGAAGAAGGATTGAAACTAAATGTGGGTGAAGGAGTAGATGTAAAATTCTGGGGGGACAACTGGAAGGAGGGGGAGAGTTTAGCTAACAAATACCCGAGGCTTTATTCATTGTTGACAGGAAGAAATAATCAAATTTCATAAATGGGGAATTGGATCAATGGAGCTTGTAAGTGGAACTTACAGTGGAGGAGGTGCTTGCACAGTTGGGAAAAGCAACAGGAGGAAGAGCTGCAAAGGGAGATCCAAGAAATTAAAATCACAAGAGGAAAACCAGACTTGAGGGAGTGGGTCCACAATAACGAGGGGAGATACACAATGAGGACAGCTTACCAAATTCTGACAAAGGAGAATAGTTCAAATTAGCAAGGAGTAGTGCTTCACAAAGCCTGGAATGTGTTTATCCCCAGCAAGATTGTGGCTTTCTCATGGCAAGTGTTGCAAGACAAAATACCGACAAAACTCAATCTGTTAAAAAGGGGAATCATACAAGATATTGGGGAATGCAAATGTGTCTTTTGTGGAGTTGCATTGGAGGATACCAGCCATTTGTTCATCCATTGCAAAGTAGCTTATAGCATATGGAATGCATGTTTTAAATGGTGGGGAGTAAAAACTGCACTGGATAGGGATTGCGGTAAGGTGTTGGAACAACATTCAAATTTGATTAAAACTATAGGGGAAAAGAAGGGATGGGAGTGCATCTGGTTCTCTATTGTATGGTCAATTTGGTTAGCTAGAAATGAAAAAGTATTTAGAGGGAAAGATGCAAACAGAGATAGGATTGTGGAGCTTGTTCAATTAAGGGCATTCAACTGGATAAAATGAAAAAGGGGAAGAGTTTTTTCTCGTTGGCAGACTGGTTCCATAACCTGTCTGGTTGCTTGGAGATGAGCTATGGCAACAGAAAGAGCATGAACAGTGAGAAATGGAGAAATTGCAAAAGAGGATAGAAAACCAACACGGGTGCAGTGTTGACACATAATTTTAGTGTCGATACCATACGGTAAGCATTCAGAATTCATTGGGTCTGATCAAAACAATGAGAAATGGAGAAATAGCAAAAGATGACAAAAACCTGACATGGGTGTGGTGTCGACACCATACGGTAGGCATCAGGATTCCGACACGGATGTGGTGTTGACACACAATTTTGGTGTCAACACCACACGGAATGGCTAATTGACTCATATAAATTTATGCCTTTTAAGTTGAGATGTTAATGAGTTTGGGGTACCCCTTGTATTCCGTTTTTTAATAAAAATATTACTTTTTGCTGTTCAAAGAAAAAAAAGAAAACAATAGCTAGTCTTGGCATTCCAAGTTCTGATTGAGATACTATTGCCCTTATTAAGCTTGGTTTAATTATTAGAATCATGATGACTACAGTACTTGGGCGGGGCAAAAAAAAATGTATAAATGGAGATAGATATAAACTCATATTGTGCAATCGACAGTTAAGAAGAGACTCATAATTTTTTTGATACTCCTGGAGATAGGAAGAAATGGAGAAAGCTACTACACCTACCAAGTGCTTTGACTCATTCAAATTGAATGACAGGCTGCGAAAAAGGAAAATCCAATGTTTCATTTGAGATTACTAGTCCACATCCAAAAAAAAAAAAAAGGATCCCACAGAGAGAAACTTGAAAATAGTAACATGTTTGATTCCTCTCACATTCGGAAAGATTAAGATATTTGTTTACAATTATATTATGTTGATGGTCTAATTAAGGGAAAAATATGGGATCCTAAAGCACACAAAATAATGGTTAATTCATGGAATCCAAGTTAAATTTAAATGTCGTCAATTTATTTGTCTAATATCATCAACAAGATGGGCACCCGGTCTTGTTTGTCCAATGCTTATAAGCCATATTGTAAGTATACCCTCAACCAAAGAACTTGGTTTCGAATGACCTCACCCCAAAATTGTAACTTGTTCAAAAAAAAAAATATATATATATATATATATATTATCAACAGAAAAGAGATATTACAAAATCAATTAGTGGAAAGTTTTGTTTTTGAAACTAATGATCGTTCTCCTTTTACACATAGCAGCAAACACAAACACGAAGTTCATACAAATATTTTTTTTATCAGGAAAGAAACTTTATTAATTAATAATGGGTACATGAGTTGGATTTTTATGGGTTTGAGGAACTCTTTGTACTTTTTTTTCAATAAATATTACTTTTTCTGTTAAAATAAAAAACATGAGTTGGATTTTTTTATCAGCAAAATAAAATTTTATTATATAGACTATAATGGGTATTTCTACCCAAAAACACACAAAGTACAAATTATCACAGTAAAAATCCTCCAAGCATACGATCATACATTCAGGCAAAGCCAAAACCATCCAGCATATTCACAAGCCTCCACTTTAGCTGATCATCCATGTATCTGTTGTTGTCGGTGATACGGTTTGAAGAGCCTCTTATACCTCCTCACAGCAATAAATTAATTTTTAAATAAGTGTTATTTTATAAATTAATTTTAAGGTTTAAATCTTGAAGTTAACAATTAAAAAATTAATTTTTTAAAAATATTCTAAATGATATCAACTTGAAAGTGGTTCTTATAATTACCCTAGAAGGAATTAGAATTAAAGTTTAAAGTGTACGAAAATTATACCAAAAACATTTAACGGTAAATACAAAAACAGATATTAACTCCAAAATTCCAATTACATGCACTCAAAAGTCCCCAGTATATTTTTTGTGGATAAAAAATATAAGGAAAGGAGGAAGTTTTATTTTTTCGGATTGGATTTTAAATCTCAACAGTTGTAAAATCTCTTAAGGGACTATACAAGATGCCATCAATTGGCAAAGCAACGTTTGAGTGAGAGTATGCTTTTTTGATGTAAATGGATTTGAGTATCCCTTATATTAAAAAATATAATTTTTTTTTGCTTTAAAAAAAAATCCCAATATATTTATAAGCTAAGCGCTTACCTCATCCATAGCCTGACAGCTCGCAGAATCATATTCTTTCTATTTCATCAGTAAACAAATTAACCAGTAAACTTTTACCAGTTGTTATAATAAAAAACCAACCTCTGATTCTTGTCCTTAACCTACTCAGAAAAAGATATTCAGACATTAATTTCTATGTTTGTATAATAGGGAAGAAAATGATGTAACCTTAAATTATAGTATCGCACAAGAATTTTCTTTCTATGAATTTGATAAGACAAAAAATATCCCCACTACTTAGATTTCTCTTTCGGCCAATCCAGATCCAAATCAATTCATACTTAGCTTTTGATGGGGAAAAAAAATCTATACACGTGATCATCATTATCCTGTCTAATTAGTGACATGTCATACTTTTTAAAATGTTGTATTCCTCAATTTTTATTTTATACATTTTTTATATATTAAAAAATAAAAATTGATATTAATTTTACTGATTTGTACAATTAAAAACATCTATATATATGATAAAAATATTAAAATTAATGTCAGTTTTTTTTTAATAAATTAATATCTAAAATGTGTAATAAATATAGTTTTAACTTGTGCCTTTAGGTTAGACAAATGAAACTACTATAGTTATAATACCACATAATATTGTAAATTTACCACATGATATATCATTATATAATTGGTTTTTTTTTTTTTTTTCATTTGGAAGTCTACTTATAATATTATATATATCTACTTATTTGATAAAAGTCATACTTATTTAATATTATATTATAATTATAAACTTACAATTTTACATATGATATTGTAAGTGCATTGCTATTAGATAAACCTTTTAAATAAAGTATTGCCAATAGGTCAGATTAAATTGGTTTAGATTGGGCCGCCTTGAATTCCAAATTAATCATGTTGGGTCATTATTTCAAATTTTGAGTTAAACTTAGACTTATGATCCATCCACACAAGTTTTAGATTAGATAGGGTGGATCTAACATTTTTAAAAAATTTTCAATATTTTCTCTATTTTTAAAATATAATATTAATTAATTATTTAGAGTTGAAAAAATATGTTAAATTAATATTTACTCTAATAATCTAATAACTAATTTCCATTTTATAGTATTTGCTTTTGTCTTATATTTAAAAATCAAAATTAAAAGTATAATTAATTAAAATTTTAAAAAATTAATTAATTTTAATCAAATCACTTCAAATTGACTCAACTTGACCTTGATTGGGACCTAACTTAGTTGGATCCAATTAATTGTAATTTGGATCATATCGTATTTCATATTAATAACTTAGTCCCATGATTCTATTCATAGCAATTGAGTTGGGTTTGATATTTAAATCGGATCCAATTTTTTATCTGAAAGCCCTCTTTCTAACTTTACTCTTTCTAACTTTACTCTTATTGCAATTTCATAATGACTTCAATTCCTCAACAAAACTTAAGAATCACTCTCAACCTCTTTATTAATTGAGTACAACTAGAAATAAATATGAAATTTTAACATATAATAATTGTATTTCTATGAAACTTGATTAATTTTTTAAAAGGTAATAAAAAAAATGTAACAATTAAAATAGCACGAAGGAGTATTAACTAATCACTATGGTAAATATTTTCAATCGTACTTTTATATCTTTTTTTAGTTTAGTTGTTAGGGTGTTTTTAGATTAATTTGCATATATTTTAAAATTAATTTCTTCTTGATTTGATCAAAGACAAATTATCCACTTTAAGATTAAAAAATTTATAAAAAATTACTTTCTCATTAACTACTCTAAAAAATCAAAACTTAGTTATCAAAATAAAAAATAAATCCTTTTATTAATTAATTCATAGCACCTTACATACTTTTATCCTTTCGGTAACATCAGATCTTTCTTGCCATCATTCGATGAATTAATTAAGGAAAATGATATGTGCACACCCGGATCCAACACCCGGGTGTGCACACATCGTATAAAAAAAAAAAATGCCCATCACTCGGTTCAATTTTTTTTTTACGTGGGGATGCACATTCGGGTGTTGGATATGGGTGTGCATCAATCATTATTCATTAATTAATTATTCATGTCCCTTTAATTTACAACTGACAAGAAAATTAACCTGAAATTTAGGTGTAGCATGATTATGACATGTTCTAGGCATGCAAGTTATTAGGATAGAGATTTTTGTGTTTAATCTATCCTGAAAATTAATTACGGAAGCTACTGACCTTATTGGAGTCAAATTGCAACAAGCCTTCTAGAACCGTATTTTGCAATTGGAGAAATTTGTTACGCGTGACTTTCCTATGCTTAGTCCAAAGGCCGATGTATAATCAGTTCGATTGTCCACCCTTTTTTTTTCTTTAAATGGTAGTTAGTCTGTCATCTTTTGACATTGTTTACTCGATGATAATTCTAAATTTTACGTATGAGATGATTGTAATAACTAACAAAAATTACAAACATATATTGTTTTTTTTTTGTATATACATGTAAAACATTAATTTCCTTAAATTTAGAAAAGCCTAAAAAATAAATATTTTTGATCATCCAAAAAAAATTTTATTACATTGAAATGTAAGGAATATTCCTAGTATATATCACGTTCTACTATTACATAGTTTAAACATATATTACCCTAGAATACAAATCAACATAGGTAATCCAATCATCCAATGAAAACCCACATCCACTTAATTTATTCTTTAATCACAAAAAATATTTAGTTTGAATTACCTATACTAATCTGTCAACATCTATCTCCACCCTATAGGAAAGCCTCAAAATCGAAAATTTTAATTCTAATTAGAAGAAAAACATTTGTTTCGCTTTTTTCTTTTTTTTGGTTGTATTTATGATAACTTAATTTTGTGTGTGTAAATATACATAGAAAAGTTATTTAGTAACAACTTCTGCATTAAACTTTTTCAAACTATATACCTTAATTACATGAAATTTTTAAAGAAAAATTGTAAAAATAGGTTGTATGCATATCATTACTCATAGTGGTAGAGCCATAAAATAATTTTAGGGTGGCAAAATAAAATTTTTGAAAAAAAAATGATGACTTTGTGTATTAATTTGAAAAGGTTTAAAAAAAAGATTTTAAATAACATTTGTTTTAGTTTTCAACAATAAACTAATTGTGGTTGATAACCATTAATTGAAAGATAAAAAATGAACACATATTAAGTAGAAGAACATATACCGTGAGGAAGTAAAGATATTAATGAAGAGACACTTTATAAAAAAATAACAACAAATAATTTTTATTTAATTAATTTTTACCTTTCCCCATATTTTATATTATCTCTATTTTCCTCCATTTTTCTCTTCATCATTAAAAGAAATCTTCAACAATACAAGTGCTAAAAAATGATTAAAATGATATGAAATAAGTAAGGATAAAAATAATAAAAATAAAACATAAAGGATGAAACTAAATTTTTAAAAAAGTAGAGTTGGTCTCTCGGCTCCGCCGATAATTACCCATATATATATTAATTTGCCTGAGGGAAGCCAAATTTTGTTGTCAATGCAACAAATTATTGTTATTAATGATCAAACTATAGATACGAGCTATGTGCATATTTAGACAGTGCGATTAATTGCATATGACCTATATCAGCTGATGGAAATGTTTATTTTTGGGTGCTCAAAATAATAAAGGGACGAAGTTTTTTCAAATGAAATGAAGCTTTTTTGACACGCAAAAATAAACATTTTATCACTTTATTAATAATTCGATATGTGTGTCTCACGCTTTCGGTAAAAAGCTAGAAATGAATCTGTGCACATATGGATTCATTCAAAGCCGTCAATACCTAAATAATTTTAGTAAATTTTGTAAGGACTAAGGAGTACTTTTGGCCTACAAAGGATCCCCTTCTCTACTGCAATGTAATATACATATAGAATTATGATTCATTTACACACCATTCTTATATAAATTACTTTACATAAAAATTTAATCATTCATATATATAGAATAGTATATCTCAAATTTGAATCTCATTAAAAATTTATAGTTATAGATTCAGAAAAACATAACCTTTTCATGAATATTTTAAAAAATTGATATTGAATTTAATGTTTTATTGATATATATAGATCATGCATGTTAATTTTTAAATGATTTAATATTTTTAACCATTTGATTAAGAAACTCATGTTTTCTAACATATATTTAATGGTGTTAAATTTTATTTAATCAATGAATACATTTAGATATATTCAAATAATCTAAAAACTGATATATATGCTTTACATTAATAGAACACTAAATCCAATAGTTGATTTTTGAAAATATTCATTGAAATATGGTATTTTTGCAACTAGGACTATAATTTTCTATTTTTCTATATACATTACGAATATAAGTTAGAAAAACTCTTCAAAATATTAATCAAAAAGTGAGATTTTTGCAAATCCAACACCATTTCTTTTTTGAGTCAAGATTAATATAAAATTTTCTTTTTCTCGATAATTATTTTCTCTTCCTAGCTGCCCCCCTTCCTTCCCTTGCCCTAAACTTCTTTCTCTTTTTTTTTTCTTTTTTTTTTTTTCCACTTGATTAGCACCTCCTTCCCTCTCAATAGTTAAGGTAAATAGCTAAAAACAAGAGTTCTCTTTTCTTGCGAGAATAATTCTCTCTCTTGTGGATGTTTCCCTTTTCTTTTCTTTTCTTTATTTTATTTATTATTATTATTATTATTATTATTATTATTTTGTGTTTTTGCCTTCGCTTTCCAGATGTTTTTCATCAATATTTCCTTTTATTGGAGAAGGATGATGGCAAATGCGTGAGGTTTGTTGAGTTTAGATTGTTATACTTATCTCGACTATTAAGGGCCCTAATTAAATTTTCTTGGCCCTAAAATCAATATATTTTCTGTCTAAATAAATTATGCTCAAATATGGCTTAACTATTAAATACCAATTTCTCTTACATTTTTATACATTTTATGAGTATAATACATCTTGCTATATACCCATTTATGGTAAGTTCTGTACATGAATGAAATTTTATTTTTCATTAAAAAATATTATTTTCTCTTCAATTAAAACTATAAATACGCCAACAACATCCTTACACCAACATCGAGCCTTATCACTCCGATTCCAAAACACATCACTCACTACTTTGAACCATATCTCTGAGAAGCCATGCATCGTTGCCAGTCACTTGCCAAGAACCTTAGTAGTAAAATCCTTAACCTCGACCCCCACCACCACCACCAACAAATGAGAAATTTTCCAAACCAGCTACATCGGTACTGCGACGTTTTCATTAGCCATCGAGGGATTGACACCAAGAGAACCATTTCTGGGTTGCTCTACAACCATCTAGTTCGCCTTGGGCTCAACCCGTTTTTGGACACCAAGAACATGAAGCCTGGTGACCGGCTGTTCGACAAAATCAACGATGCCGTTCGACACTGCAAGGTCGGGGTTGCTGTCTTGTCCCCGCGTTATTGTGAATCATACTTTTGTCTCCACGAGCTGGCTCTGATGATGGAAACTAGGAAGAAGGTCATTCCAATCTTTTGCGACCTGAAGCCATCGCAGCTCCAGGTTAAGGACGATCGGTCTCGTCCAGCTGAGGAGATGAAGAGGTTCCAATGGGCCCTCAAGGAGGCAAAATACACTGTTGGTCTCACCTTTGACACATTGGGAGGGTTAGTATATACAACACATATGGGTCATGTTTGGAATTGGATGAGTTGGGAACTGAGAAAATGTATGTTTTTCTACTATTCATGAATGAAAAGCTTCAATATTTATGTACAAAACAAGAGCAACCAAAATGAATGAAATCTCCTAAGCAAATCTATTTACAACGGTAAAATGGAAAATGGAAAGTGGCAGGGATTAAACGGTAAAATGGAAAATGGAAAGTGGCGAGGATTAGGGACCAACGGCTAGAACTTTGATTGTGGTGCTGTAGTAGAAGACTTTAATTCTAACACCCCCTCTTCAAGTTGGAGCATGCAAGTCAAAAATGCCCAACTTGCGAAGAAGGAATTGGAATTGATCACTTCCCAAAGCTTTTGTGAAGATGTCGGCTAGCTGGAGTTTGGAATGAACATGAAAAGTAGTAATAACTCCAGCTTGGATCCATTCCCGAATAAAATGACAATCAATTTCAATATGCTTTGTACGTTCATGAAAAACCGGGTTGGTAGCCATGTGAATTGCAGCTTTGTTGTCACAGAACAGTTTCATGGGTTGGGGATGATCAACTCCTAAAGTTTGAAGCAAGGTCTTGAGCCATAAGAGTTCACATATAGTGGAAGCCATAGCCCTATATTCTGCTTTCGCTGATGATCGTGACACTGTAGATTGCTTTTTTGTTTTCCAAGATATAGGTGAGGTCCCTAACATGGTGATGTAACCTGTTCTGGATCTTCGAGTCATAGGACAACTGGCCCAATCTGAATCACAATATGCTGAAAGTTGTAGAGAGCTTGAGGATGAGAGGAAGATACCTTGGCCCGGTGATGATTTTAAGTAGCGTAAGACACGCATCGCTGCATCGAGGTGAGGCCGTTGAGGAGCTTGCATGAATTGACTGAGGATATTGACAGCATATGAAATTTCAGGACGTGTGATTGTCAAATATATGAGACGCCCAACTAGTCTCCTGTATTGCATAGGGTCAGAAAGATGTGGGCCATCATCTGAAGTGAGTTTAAGCTTCTGCTCCATGGGGAATAGAGATGGCTTTGTACCAAGCATGCCCGATTCGACTAAGATGTCTGACGTATATTTTTGTTGATTCAGAAAAATGCCAGAGGGGTGTCGTGCCACTTCAATGCCTAGGAAGTATTTTAGCTTTCCAAGATCTTTGATGTGGAATTTTGTATGAAGGAAATTTTTCAGCTTTTGACAAAGCAATGAGTCATTTCCTGCAACAATCAAATCGTCAACATAGACTAGTATGGCGAGGAATTTATTCTCACGCCGATAGGTGAAGAGTGAATAATCGCTCATAGATTGTCTAAAGCCAAAAATTTTTAAAGCA